AAAAAGACAAACCCGCACAAAACATAATTAGAGCTATCAATTTGGTCATTCAAAAGCATTATACCACTCAACCAAATGAAATAAACTTAAAATTAAATTTTACATATTAGAGAGTTTCTTTATAGGAGAATGAATAACATTTTCATTAGCACGCAATTTTTGGGGCCCACGTATATATATATATATATATATATATATATATATATATATATATATATATATATATATATATATATATTGGGAAATAGTGAAGATTTTGGTGGGGAAGGTGTCAAGCCATCCAAAGAGACCACATGACTGCTGCCTTTGACTTCAGGATCACCGGGCTAATTACATATCTCTTTAGTGATTCGATGATGACGGACGACGGCGCCGTGGCGTCGGTGGTGGTAAACGGTGAAGAAGAAGAGATGATGGTAAAGCAAGGATTGAAGAGAAGAAAGAAAAAGGCTTATCTTTGTCCTTCCTCACTCCCAAATGGTAAGAGAAAGAGAAGCTTCCGCTGCTGATGCTGGAATTCGACTATAGGTTGTTCTTGTTCTGCTTTTCTCACTCCCTCTCTTCCTCGGTTCCGTGGCTCCCGTATCATTGTGGTAAGGAACGAATGGGATACCCTCGACTTACTTCTCGTCCTCTTCGCCATTCTCTACGGCCTCCTCGGTCGCCGCTCTGGCGACGACGACGACGCTGAGAAGTCTCTTCAGGAGGCCCACGACGAGTGGCCCAGGTTCGCCAGTCCTCCACCAGTGGCTAGCTACTCGTACCCCGTGGAGGCCGCCCACACGGTGGGCACTCGTGTGATGCGGAGCAGCAGCTCCTACTACGCTGATCTGGGGCCGGAAGTAGCGACATTTGGAGCCGCCGCCAATGATGGGTGGCGTTGCTACGATGATGTCCATCTTTGTCGTCGGAGGTCAGAGTAGGATGGCTGGGAGAGACAGAGGTTTGGGTATCTGGACGCGAAGACGATTCCGGTGGACACGTGTGTTCTTCGACAGAGCTCCTCTACAAGATCTAGATCACCGCCGAGTCCGCCGTCGCCATCGCCATCGCCACGGCGGCATCCGAGGAGGAGAGCGGTAGATGGGCTTTCCAGGGAGGGGGGCGGACAAGGTTGAGATCTTTCGATCAAAAAGCCCCATCCACAGTCACCACCGTCGCCTCCGCCACAGCACTAGCCTAGGAGGAGGAGGAGCGATGTCGCAGCGACGTCCGCCACCACCTACGCCGTCCACTGTCGTTAAAATTACTTTTTAATTTTTAATTTCAATATTTCGATCGGTAAAACTGATATCGATCAATCTGTAACTAATCCTAAGATCATATGGTGTGCATTTTATTATTAGTATTTTTTTTAATTATACAGCATATGGTGTTATGATGATGATGTTTGAGTGACATCATAAATGAAGCATTAGATATTTGTTTAATTGGAAAATTTTCTCCATAACACCTTCCATAAAATCTTATATGTGAGGTGGATATTACCAATGGTATGTATGACATTGGAGACATACTTGTTTGGAACCATTTTATGAGGAATTTAATTAAATAAATTTGCAAGTTCAGAATATTTTTATTTGTAATTTTGATTAATTAAAGGGTTTATCAGAGACACTCAGTCAATTCCATCCAATGACACGACATCCTTCATGCTGATTCCAATACTTTCTCCTCGTAATTGCAAATTAGAATAAATTTATAGTGCACGTGTTACATTGCAAGCATATACTGTATACCTTTTTGTATATATGTATTTTCCCTACAGGAATGTGTAAATTTATTCATGCAAAAAACAACCATTATATATATATATATATATAGGAGTGATATCATCACCCCCAACGCCACCAACCACCCACCCAACACATGTGGGCAAACCCTCGCCTTTCGTATAAATCGTCCTCATCTCCACTACCGTCAACTCCGCACCTCCCCGCTTTCTCGTAGTCGGCCTTTTCCTCCTTTCCCCCTACTCCACCTCAGCTCCCTTCCGGCGGCTTCCGGCGCCATGGAGTCCGTGAGCGAGTGGGGTCTCTCGCCGCTCTCCGTCGTGGATCCGGAGATCCACGATCTCATCGAGCACGAGAAGCGGCGGCAGTCGCATGGCATCGAGCTCATTGCCTCCGAGAATTTCACCTCCTTCGCCGTCATCGAGGCTCTCGGAAGCGCCCTCACCAACAAGTACTCCGAGGGCATGCCCGGCAATCGCTACTACGGCGGCAACGAGCACATCGACGCCATCGAGAACCTCTGCCGCTCCCGTGCCCTCTCCGCCTACCGCCTCGACCCCGCCAAGTGGGGCGTCAACGTCCAGCCGTACTCCGGCAGCCCGGCTAACTTCGCCGCCTACACCGCCATCCTCAACCCTCACGACCGCATCATGGGCCTCGATCTCCCTTCCGGTGGCCACCTCACTCACGGCTACTACACCTCCGGTGGCAAGAAGATCTCCGCTACCTCCATCTACTTCGAGAGCTTGCCCTACAAGGTCAGCCCTGTGACCGGTTACATCGACTATGAGAAGCTCGAGGAGAAGGCCCTCGACTTTCGCCCCAAGCTCATCATCTGCGGTGGCAGCGCCTACCCCAGGGACTGGGACTACGCGAGGTTCAGATCCATCGCAGAAAAGTGCGGGGCCTTGTTGCTCTGCGACATGGCTCACATCAGCGGCCTTGTGGCCGCTCAGGTGATGATTTTTTTAAACCTTCTGTGTTTCAGTCGGAAAAATCATATTTTGATGTTAATTTAGCTTTCAAAATACTTTTTGTTTTCTAATTTCTGCATATTCTTGTGAACGATGGGTATATTAGATCTGGTAGATCCGGGTAAATGGTTATTTGGTTTATGGGATTTTTTTTTTGTTTCCATGAATATTTATATAGATCTGGATTAAATGGACAGATTTGTTGGATGGCTTGCATGACAGGGATAGATCTGCAAGTTTGGATTGCATTAGATATAGTTGCTTTTGATTGCTAGACCTGAATATCCTGATCTTTTTCCAGAGAACAGACTGAGGCCTTATCCTGATTCTTTGTCGATTGATTTTAGCCAAAAGTAATTTGTTTCAGTAATTCGTTTGTTGTTGATTGATGACAAAGCAGAACACATCTCAAACTTGGACAGAATATCGGAACATATTGATTTTACTAAATTTTCTTTGAGCTATATTAGAGTTAATGGGTAATACAAGTCAATCTGGAATTTGTGTGTTTTCTTACGTTTTATTTGGTTCTAGTAGTTGGTTTTTTTTGGATACTTTTTCTCTTTATTTGCAGATGAAGCAAAGGATTGATCTTCCATTTTCTTGAGTATTAGCTTTATTTTCTTTTTGGACTCCACCTTTACTGAAGATCAGAGCTTCAGTCATTTCATATAGTCATGCATGTAGTTGGATTATATTGTTGACCATTAACATTCAACTATTGCTTCTCATTATGAGAGAAGTCAGAGATACCAAAGTTGTTTTTTTTTTTTTCCTTTTTTTGTAAATTTATCTCTTAGTCTAATTGTGCAACGATGTGTTGTACTGATTAGAATGTTTAATTCACTATGTTGTAGGAGGCTGCAAACCCCTTTGAGTTCTGTGATGTGGTCACGACAACTACTCACAAGAGTCTCAGAGGACCTAGGTCTGGCATGATCTTCTACAGGAAAGGCCCTAAGCCTCCAAAGAAGGGACAGCCGGAAAATGCTGTTTATGATTTTGAAGACAAAATCAATTTTGCAGTGTTCCCAGCTCTCCAAGGTGGCCCTCACAATCACCAGATTGCTGCTCTGGCTGTGGCCTTGAAGCAGGCCATGTCACCTGGATTCAAGGCATATGCCAAGCAGGTGAGAGCCAATGCTGTTGCTCTTGGGAATTATCTGATGAGCAAGGGCTACAAGCTTGTGACCGATGGAACTGAGAACCACCTTGTCCTCTGGGATCTTCGACCTCTTGGATTGACTGGTACTAGCTGTTTCTCCTTTTCATTTAGTTTGTTGCTAATTAGTTTTCCTCAAATTCATCTTTTTTCATTCACTTTGTAATGTTGCAGGAAACAAGGTCGAGAAACTTTGTGATCTTTGCAATATTACTGTTAACAAGAATGCTGTTTTTGGTGACAGTAGTGCATTGGCTCCTGGTGGTGTCCGAATTGGTAAGAACGTTATATTTGGAGCATGACCTACTTGTACCATGTTGTTTAGTCTTAAAGATGTTTATGTTTGAAACCTCTGAAACAATTTCTGAAGTTCAATTTTCAGAGGATGGATTTTGTTATACTGTTGATAAAAGTTCTTGGTGGTCTGAAGCCTCTGCTTAAAATTCTGTCATACTTATAGCAACTGCATCAGTACATACTTCTGCAAAGCATTCTTGAAGTCATTCAAGTAATCCTTATGATTCATTTTCCAGGCACTCCTGCCATGACATCACGAGGCTTGGTCGAGGAGGACTTCAAGCAGATAGCAGAGTTCCTTCATCAGGCAGTGACCCTTTGCCTGTGCATTCAGAAAGAACATGGGAAGCTTCTGAAGGACTTCAACAAGGGTTTGGTGAACAACAAAGACATCGAGGAGCTGAAGGCAGCAGTTGAAAAGTTTGCTGCATCATTTGACATGCCTGGCTTTCAATTGCCCTCAACATAAGACTTCAACAAGGGCTGGGTGAACAACAAAGACAGTGAGGAGCTGCATCAAGGACTAGAACACCATAGTTGTCATGTAGCTCATCTTCTACCATCTCTTCTATTTTGACTCTTTTGCTGTTGGTTTTGCTTGTTTTTTATTATGCATTTGAACTGTTTGTTGTTTTCTTCTTAGGTGATGTGCCCATGGAAGGAGAAGATAATAAATATTGTATGAGCATGTACTTTGGAAGTAATGAGTATGGCAATTAACCATGTAAGACTGATTCATAGGAGATAAATTTTAGTGAAAAATTGATGTATAAACAATTAATAAGTCTGGCATGATATTTATAACTGATATATTTTCCATGGTCAATTATCATTCTTATATGTATGCAATGTGAAACTCTAGAATTTATACTATAGCTAAATATTATTAAAGCTGAACAACTTGTAAAGAATTTTCTTTCAGCTGTTAATTAATTAATCAAGTGTAGGGTTTTACATGATATGTTTCTGCTCTTGCCTACTGACTGTCAATGGAATGTGTTATTCCAATAGTTTGGCTTATTAAGACTGACATACGCTCGAACAGGTAAGCAAGATTGAATTTATTGTACCTCCTATTTAAGAACTCGGCTGCTTTCCGAGGTTTCTTTTCTACTTTTATTTTGTAGTAGGTGAAATTTATTTTCCTCCCCCATGTCTACACCCATGTCATCCTCCTGAATTGGACACACTGATATGCTTCCAAAGATAAGCCCATTTCCATGCTATTAATAACACCACCCCTCGTGTATACTAAGACAGTCCCAACTACTATGAAGGTCTACCATACCGAATCGTACCGTCCGATACAGGTGGTACGTACTAGTCCGATAGGTCAGTAGTACACGGACCACTCAGTAGTTCACTGTAGCACTACAGTAGTTCACTATAGTACTGTAGCATTACACTATAGTAATGCTACAGTACTCGATACACCGTACCGTATCGATATCGAGCCCAGATCAAAATACCGATATGATACGGTATTAAACAAACGAGAATTGCCTCCAATGTTATGATCAGTACAATATTACACAGTTAATAAATCTCATATTCGAATCCAGTAATTTAGTTTAAACAAAAATTTTAATTGTTTGAGAAGAGGCCAAAGTTTGAGTCCAATTATTAATGGACTAATCCAAGGGCATATCCGAGATAATATGTTTGGAGAGGGTGTAATTGCAAATGAAGAAGTTGCAGTGACCTACTGCCATACAAGTGATAATATGAATCCGACGGACCAATCAGCGAGCAGGACGAAGTCAACGCCCCCGAGTGCTTGTCCTCCCCTGTGATTCCATGTCGTTGCTGCCATCAACCACATAAGGATAGTCTCCATCTCCGTATTAGCAACAACGTATAGCGTCCCTCAGCAACAGAACAGCTTATCCTATTCCATTGATTATACCGTGACTACGAATCCTAAATACGATGTCGATCGACTATGTGCTAACTTCATTGGGTTTGCCGGCGTGGTTTATTGGCGGCTTACTGTGGTCGAGCCAGGTAGAGGAGTCGGATAAGGTTAGGTGGTTCACGAGGGGAGAAAAAGTTAGTTGGGCAGGACGTTATCCTCACTCCTTATGGTCACCATTTTTTTGCGTTCGTTAATATAAGCCTTAATCTTCTCTCTCTCTCTCTCTCTCTCTCTCTCTGTGAATCCAACCACCACCCCGTCGGTGCCTGCCGCCTGATGGTATTACTGCCGTCCCCTCACCTCCGTCACCCAAACCTAAGCCGATCCGACAATCCCCAAAATACCCCTCTCAGACGCTGCCCGCCCTTTTTCGGACTCCTATATTTTACCCCCTTCAGCTCTCCTTGTAGCAATTGGAGGTTCAAGTTCTCCTCATTTTGCAAAATTCTATTTATTTAATTTTTAATAGATATTAATTTTTTAAAGATTGAATGAAATATATTTATATGAAAATGACCATAATATATAAAAATTTTACCTTACACTCCCAAATAAGTGAGGAGAAGTAAAGTAGAAATAACAAATTAGATATAACAATAAGATATAAAATTGATGCGATGCTATTACACCCATCTAAAGCATTCATTTTATTATATATTTATTTCAATCATCTTTTATAATTTGATTGAAAAATTACATAAATGTTTTGTTAGAATATTTTTAGACCTCTTTATGATAATTATTTTTTGTATGATTCTAAATGTAAAGTAAACCTTCGTATCTTATCGATAAAACTGAATACTTAGAAATTCATTCTTCTATTTTTTTATTTTTTTTATTTTTCATGCCATGGATTTTATGGATCAAGAAAAATAAAATAATAATTATTAGATTATATTAATTTTTAATCTAATATATGTAAAAAATTATATTTATAATATTTTTTCCTCATGTGCATAGATGAATAATGAAATTAATCAAACAACACCTAATAGGTTGGTTAAATAATTTAAAAATATAATTGATTGCTAATTAGAAACTCTATCAATTTGAAGGTCCGAAACTACCCAATGATTAGGGGTTGTTTGGTCATTTAGTTGGGAGAGTCGGAGGAGACACAAAGCCTACGTTCCCCCATCCCCATCGATGCCTTCAACCCCACAGATACAACAAACGGGAGGAGAAAAGCGCCGAGGAGACCCAAAGGCAAAAAAAAGAATAGATTAATCGAGGAGGAAGAAAGGAAGGACGGAAACTACTAATCGTGGCGAAGAAAGGTGGTGGATGTGAGCGCCTCGCCCCTCCGCCACCTTCCCGTCCTCCCCCTCCCTCGAGCCGTCGTCTTCTCCTCCTGCATCGGCGCCCGCGGCCGGCGTCAACCCGGTACGGAACCGTCAGCCGTTCTTTCTCGGGTTCTTGCTTGTGCTTCTTTTGCTCTTCCGAGATGCCGATGTTTGTTATCATGTTGTACGTCGTGGGGCGAGCGGAGGTTAGCGGCCACCTCGGCACACGGTTTTGGACCTCGTCGGTGGTTTTCTGTCATCTGGGTTTATGGGGGCGTGTAAGATGGGTGGATGGAGGTCGGGCAATCGGATTTCCCAAGAGCTCTGTTGAGTTGGTAGTTTCAGCTTTCAGATAGTCGATGTATCGAGGGAAATTGATCGTAGATTGTGTCGTCGATGTCCGATGGAGATTCATCTGGTGAGTAGAAGAGGTTCTTGATGGGTTTGGTTGTTGATCTCGTAGTGCTGGTGGAGCTCGGGGTCAGGCCACCCTGTTAAATTTCTGTCCGAGGGATTGCTGTTCTAGTGAACTGTGTTGGTTGTAGTTGCTTTCTATCTGCTCTGCGGAATATGATCAATTGTGTTTGGATGAATGATGATAGTGTTTGCTGATGACTAGTTCATGTTCTCGAGAGCAAGGAGGTGGTATTTTGGTGTCGATGGGATCAGAACATCCAGGCAATTGATGTGCGGGAGAATTTGCTTCAAAGAAATTGTTTATGATTAATTGAAATTTTTGTCTATTTATGTGCTTAGTGAGAATCTTTCCACTGACTAATCTCACCCACTTACTGTCTGATTAGTACTTTTTCTAGTTCTCGTTTATGTTCAGTAGCTTATTACAGTATGCGTTGGCAAGACAAACTTGATTCGGCTGGGGAATACCATCTGAATGAACAATCACTTGGTGCTGTCTCTCATGCTGGTTCTCCAAAATCTGGTGTTTCGTGTAAGACTGGTTTCTGTTAAGTGATATCTTTTGGAATTTAGGGGGAAGCAAACATAGCTTGTTTGCACTTACCAACAGTTCAGTCAATCTAGTATGGAATTAGTAAAGGATCTCCACCTTTTAAATCTTATTCTTTTCCGTTGTCCCTGAGATCAAACTTTAGCCTCTAGCGGGTTGGTCTCTTTCCTGTCTTCTTGTTGTTATCAAACATTTTATATTTTTCTTGTCCTCATGCATTTATCAGCACTTTTTAGTTTTCTTCCTCACTTGCATGATCTACCCTACAGAGAAATACCCTGAGTTCTACCTATTACTTAAGTACAGGATACTTGCCTAGCTTAACATTCTTTTAGTTTTCTTTATTGATATCTATCAAGCGATTCAATGTTTCAATTTTATGGGTTTCTTTATATTTTTATTATTTTGGATATATTGGGGGTAGATTCTGTTATTTTGCTTACTGCTTTCACAATATTATCATTGTTATCCATGGTTGTTGTCTTCATGATGTGAGGGGCAATTAATAGGTTGTTTCTCTTCATTGGATCATTGATTGGAAGCCTTCTATTCTTTGAAGGAACGATGATTCTGGATTTCATCCATGCAAATCATCATATCTTTCTAAAGAAAAATCTCAAGAAACAGACAGAATCGTGAAAAGAATTTGTGGTTTTCATTTGGAATGCAGTATAGTTTGATCATCTACTTGAACATCATTCAAGTTAAATAATATTATGGCAGTGGAGATCTACTAGACTGCCCTGGTCTCTTCTCATATTTCTGGTGGATCTCCATCAATTCCTCCTCAGGATTGAGATGCTGATAGATAGTTTTAAAATGTTACCCTTTGACTTGTGGCTAGCTAGGTTGGAATCCAGTGATGGAAAAGTGATCAAAGACGGAGCTCTATTATCAGCGAATCTTGTTGAGCATTATAGTCATGTTCCAATCAAACTGGTTGATAGGCTGCAGAAGGGTGATAGTCGCACAACACTTGACCATCTAGTGGAAGATGCTGGTGTATGGATTGGGTTTGAAGTCAAGTTGTTCCATGGTAATTCAGATGCTGAGTTCATGGTTTGTCCTGTAGGACTATAAGACAATAGAAGAGGGAGTTCAACTCCAGATAAGTTATGCCTTTAATGAGAACCATGTAGCACTGACTGACTCTGGACACACCATACTTCTGTCAACTTTTCTTGGTAGACATTGGTTGCTCGGACTTTATTGAAGCAAATAGAAAATGTTCAAGCCATCACTTGTGAAAATGATTAAAGTTTTATTGTCAAAGTGGAACAGCTCCTATAATTTGGAGTGGTATCAAATGATACTATCACATCTTTGTGAAATCCCATTTACTTTGAAAACCACGATTTGTTCTTATATGGGGGGAACATATCCCAGATCCAGTCAACTTTCTTTACTTTAAGACTCTGGTTACTGATAAGAACCAATAGGTGAATTTTGCTACATTTAATTTCTTTTATGTTTCCATGGGAGTTTGATGCATTGACCATGTATATGTGGGAGATCTAGTGTTTATATTGAAATGTTAAATCAATCAAGGATTGAAGTTGACTGGCTGAGATCC